TAATGTAATATAATATATACATATATAATAAAAATTATATAAAATAAAATATATATAATATGTATTATAAAATGTATATTATATAGTATATAATTTTACATATTAATAGATATGAAATAATAATATAAATAATAATATGATAATAATATAAAATAACAAAATAAAATTATATATATACATGTATACACACATATATGTACATATTATATATATTATAATATGTATATTTTATATATCATATAATATGTATATATTATATATACATATTATATTATATATATGTAAATATATATTTACCTATATTATATAATATATATGTAATATTTACATATACAATATATAATATAGTATTTATATATACAATATATATATCATATATTACATATAAATATTTACAATATTATTTTGATTTATTTATAATATTATTTTATCTATAATATATTTATTTATGGATATAATTTGTAATATATAATATAATATAATATAATATAATATAATATAATATAATATAATATAATATAATATAATATAATATATTTATCTAAAATATGAATACATTTACATATGTAATGTTGCATATATTTTGCTGATATATATTATAATTCTAAGAAATCAGCACTTGGTGAGCAGTTCTTCCCTTGAATCCCAGATATTTTCTGGCTTTGAGGAAAACAAAGTGTTCATCCTCTGTGTTTTCCACCAAGGTGACCAAAATTAATTTCTGGGCTGTGTGCTCACGATTTTTGCACATGAAATATTAAACCACACCAGAAAAAAATCGAAATTTAAGTTGATTTAATGGAAACAGAGCTCAGGCTGAGGCAGTGCAGTGCTGCTGGCAGGCTGGAAGGTTCTGGGCCAGCATTTCCTTTGGGAGCTGATGAATTTTGTGCTTTTATCCCAATTTTTTGGTGTCCTGGGGATGCAGAGGACGCCTATAAAATCCGGATCCGCATCGATGACGAGCCTGCCAACCTGGACATTCTGGACACGGCAGGGCAGGTATGTGAGCACCTAAAGAAGATCAGCAAAATCATAAAAAACATGAAATATCTATGACCTAAACTTCCTTCTCTTTCAGTAATTCCAAGAAAATAACCTCTTGTTATCATCAACTTTAAAAAGCGTTTTTTCAACATTAAAAAATACTCCTCAATTTACCTGTTCACTTCCAACCGTCAATAAAAGAAAACCAATTTTTGCAACGATAAAAATAACAAATTATGATTACAACCAGAACGAGCTTGCTAACTATAACAAACCAAAACTTTGCAACGAGCTATTTACCTTTAAAAAAAGATTACCTTAANGAGCTTGCTAACTATAACAAACCAAAACTTTGCAACGAGCTATTTACCTTTAAAAAAAGATTACCTTAATTAAGCTCTACAAAATTCAAAACATTTATAGAATACATTATTAAATTATTCAAGTGTTTATTCATTATCGAAGTCACAAATTGTTACAAACAAAATTCCACATCTGGAACAGCCCAGCTGCCCTGAATGACATAAAATCATCAGGATGGCTTCTGAGGGAGTGTTGGAAACAGAAAAAGTTGAATAAAAAGCAAAATAACAAAGCTCTTGCAGAGAAAAACCAAGCCAGGGGAAAGAAGTTCTTGCTCCTGCAGAAACAGCCCACAAAATGGATTATTTGCTTTTTTCTTTTGTTTTTTTTAGTGAATTATCTAGGGGGGACCTCCAATGGGGCAGCCCCAGGTCTGAGGTGAAGTCCCAAAGATTCTAAGAGGTGTCTTTGTAAGCAGACAAATAATAATTGAAGTAATTCCAAAGGTCCTAGGAGTTGTCTTTGTACCAAATTAAGGAGAGAAACTTCTGGGCTTTTTGCCTTTTTAAGCAAAGAATTATTGAAGAAATCATTCCATCAACAGGGATCCCTACAATTCCATTTCTAATTAAAAATTTGCAAACACGAACTCAAATACCACAGGAGCTGCATGGATATAAAATACCATTGGATCTGTATGGACCTAAAATGCCATTTTTTATTTGCAGGCAGAGTTTACCCCACAAAACACCCCACAAAAGGGATTATTTCCTTAGTGTTTTTCTTTTTTAGTGAATTATCTAGGTGGGACCTCCAATGAGGCAGCCCCAGGTCTGAGGTGAAGTCCCAAAGGTCCTAAGAGGTGTCTTTGTACCAAATTGGGAGAGAAATTTCTGGGCTTTTTGCCTTTTTAAGCAAAGAATAATTGAAGAACTCATTCCATCAACAGGGAGCACATCCCTACAATCCCATTTCTAATTGAAAATTTGCAAACACCAACTCAAATACTACAGGAGCTGCATGGACCCAAAATACCCCTGGATCTGTATGGAGCTAAAATGCCATTTTTTATTTGCAGGCAGAGTTCACCCCACAAAACACCCCAGAAATGGGATTATTTCCTTAATGTTCTTCTTTTTTTAGTGAATTATTTAGGTAGGACCTCTAATCAGGCAGCCCCAGGTCTGAGGTGAAGTCCCAAAGGTTCTGTGAGGTGTCTTTGTACCAAATTGGGAGAGAAACTTCTGGGCTTTTTGCTATTTAAACAAATAATAATGGACATCGCTCCAAAGGTCCTTTGTACCAAATTGAGGAGAGAAAGTTCTGGGCTTTTTGCCTTTTTAAGCAAAGAATAATTGAAGTTACTCCAAAGGTCCTATGGTGTGTCTTTCTACCAAAGAGGGAGAGAAACTTCTTTTTTCCTTTTTAAGCAGACAAATAATAATTGAAGATGTCACTCCAAAGGTTCTATGAGGTGTCTTTGTACCAAATTGGGAGAGAAACTTCTGGGCCTTTTTCCTTTTTAAGCAGACAAATAATAATTGAAGATGTCACTCCAAAGGTTCTAAGAGGTGTCTTTGTACCAAATTGAGGAGAGAAACTTCTGTGTTTTTTCTTTTTTAAGCAATGAGTAATGGACATCATTCCAAAGGTTCTATGAGGTGTCTTTGTACCAAATTGAGGAGAGAAAGCTCTGAGCTTTTTGCTCAGAAGTCATTCCATCAACATCCCTACAATCCCATTTCTAATTGAAAATTTGCAAACACGAACTCAAATACCACAGGAGCTGCATGGACATAAAATACCACTGGATCTGTATGGACCTAAAATGCCATTTTTTATTTGCAGGCAGAGTTTACCCCACAAAACACCCCACAAAAGGGATTATTTCCTTAGTGTTTTTCTTTTTTTAGTGAATTATCTAGGTGGGACCTCCAATCAGGCAGCTCCAGGTCTGAGGTGAAGTCCCAGAGGTTCTATGAGGTGTCTTTGTACCAAATTGGGAGAGAAACTTCTGGGCTTTTTGCTATTTAAACAAATAATAATGGACATCGCTCCAAAGGTCCTTTGTACCAAATTGAGGAGAGAAAGTTCTGGGCTTTTTGCCTTTTTAAGCAAAGAATAATTGAAGAAATCATTCCATCAACAGGGAGCACATCCCTACAATCCCATTTCTAATTGAAAATTTGCAAACACCAACTCAAATACCACAGGAGCTGCATGGACCCAAAATACCCCTGGATCTGTATGGAGCTAAAATGCCATTTTTTATTTGCAGGCAGAGTTTACCCCACAAAACACCCCACAAAAGGGATTATTTCCTTAATGTTTTTCTTTTTTTAGTGAATTATCTAGGTGGGACCTCCAATCAGGCAGCTCCAGGTCTGAGGTGAAGTCCCAAAGATTCTAAGAGGTGTCTTTGTGAGCAGACAAATAATAACTGAAGTAATTCCAAAGGTCCTAAGAGGTGTCTTTGTACCAAATTGAGGAGAGAAAGCTCTGGGCTTTTTGCTCAGAAGTCATTCCATCACATCCCTACAATCCCATTTCTAAATGAAAATTTGCAAACACCAACTCAAATACCACAGGAGCTGTATGGAAATAAAATACCCCTGGATCTGTATGGACCTAAAATGCCATTTTTTATTTGCAGGCAGAGTTCACCCCACAAAACACCCCACAAAAGGGATTATTTCCTTTTTTATCTTCTTTTTCTAGTGAATTACCTGGGCGGGACCTCTTGGCCTCTGTCCAATCAGGCAGCCCCAGGTCTGAGGTGAAGTCCCAAAGGTTCCTATGAGGTGTCTTTGTACCAAATTGAGGAGAGGAACTTCTGGGCTTTTTTCCTTTTTAAGCAAAGAATTATTGAAGTTACTCCATAGGTCCTATGTTGTGTCTTTCTATCAAATTGGGAGAGAAACTTCTGGACCTTTTTCCTTTTTAAGCAGACAAAAAATAATTGAAGATGTCACTCCAAAGATTCTAAGAGGTGTCTTTGTACCAAATTGAGGAGAGAAACTTCTGTGTTTTTTCTTTTTTAAGCAATGAGTAATGGACATTGCTCCAAAGGTCCTAAGAGGTGTCTTTGTACCAAATAGGGACAGAAACTTCTGGACCTTTTTCCTTTTTAAGCAGACAAATAATAACTGAAGATGTCACTGCAAAGGTTCTATGAGGTGTCTTTGTACCAAATTGAAGAGAGAAACTTCTGGGCTTTTTGCTCAGAAGTCATTCCATCACATCCCTACAATCCCATTTCTAATTGAAAATTTGCAAACACCAACTCAAATACCACAGGAGCTGCATGGACCCAGAATACCACAGGATCTGTATAGACCTAAAATGCCATTTTGTGTTTGCAGGCAGAGTTCACCCCACAAAACACCTCACAAAAGGGATTATTTCCTTTTTTATCTTCTTTTTCTAGTGAATTACCTGGGTGGGACCTCTTGGCTTCTGTCCAATTGGGCAGCCCCAGGTCTGAGGTGAAGTCCCAAAGGTTCTAAGAGGTGTCTTTGTACCAAATTGAGGAGAGAAAGCTCTGGGCTTTTTGGTATTTAAACAAATAATAATGGACATCACTCCAAAGGTCCTTTGTACCAAATTGAGGAGAGAAACTTCTGGGCTTTTTGCCTTTTTAAGCAAAGAATAATTGAAGTTACTCCAACGGTCCTATGGTGTGTCTTTCTACCAAAGAGGGAGAGAAACTGCTGGACCTTTTTCCTTTTTAATCAGACAAAAAATTATTGAAGATGTCACTCCAAAGGTTCTAAGAGGTGTCTTTGTACCAAATTGAGCAGAGAAAGCTCTGGGCTTTTTGCTCAGAAGTCATTCCATCACATCCCTACAATCCCATTTCTAATTGAAAATTTGCAAACACGAAATGAAATACCAGAGGAGCTGTATGGAAATAAAATACCCCTGGATCTGTATAGACCTAAAATGCCATTTTTTCTCTGCAGGCAGAGTTCACCTCACAAAAGGGATTATTTCCTTAATGTTTTTATTTTTTTAGTGAATTATCTCGGTGGGACCTCCAGTCAGGCAGCCCCAGATCTGAGGTGAAGTCCCAAAGGTTCTATGAGGTGTCTTTGTACCAAATTGGGAGAGAAACTTCTGGGCTTTTTTCCTTTTTAAGCGAAGAATAATTGAAGTTACTCCAAAGGTCCTATGGTGTATCTTTCTGTCAAAGAGGGAGAGAAACTTCTTTTTCCTTTTTAAGCAGACAAATAATAATTGAAGATGTGACTCCAAAGGTCCTAAGAGGTGTCTTTGTACCAAATTGAGGAGAAGAACTTCTGAGCTTTTTGCTCAGAAGTCATTCCATCAACATCCCTACAATCCCATTTCTAATTGAAAATTTGCAAACACCAACTCAAATACCACAGGAGCTGCATGGAAATAAAATACCCCTGGATCTGTATGGAGCTAAAATGCCATTTTGTGTTTGCAGGCAGAGTTCACCTCACAAAAGGGATTATTTCCTTTTTTATCTTCTTTTTCTAGTGAATTACCTGGGTGGGACCTCTTGGCCTCTGTCCAATCAGGCAGCCCCAGGTCTGAGGTGAAGTCCCAAAGGTTCTGTGAGGTGTCTTTGTGAGCAGACAAATAATAACTGAAGTAATTCCAAAGGTCCTAAGAGGTGTCTTTGTACCAAATTAAGGAGAGAAAGCTCTGGGCTTTTTGCCTTTTTAAGCAAAGAATAATTGAAGAAATCATTCCATCAACAGGGAGCACATTCCTACAATCCCATTTCTAATTGAAAATTCGAAAACACGAACTCAAATACCACAGGAGCTGCATGGACCCAAAATACCCCTGGATCTGTATAGACCTAAAATGCCATTTTTTATTTGCAGGCAGAGTTTACCTCACAAAAGGGATTATTTCCTTAATGTTTTTCTTTTTTTAGTGAATTATCTAGGTGGGACCTCCAATGGGGCAGCCCCAGGTCTGAGGTGAAGTCCCAAAGGTTCTGTGAGGTGTCTTTGTACCAAATTGGGAGAGAAAGTTCTGGACCTTTTTCCTTTTTAAGCAGATAAAAAATAATTGAAGATGTCACTCCAAACATTCTATGAGGTGTCTTTGTACCAAATTGGGAGAGGAACTTCTGTGTTTTTTCTTTTTTAAGCAATGAGTAATGGACATCATTCCAAAGGTTCTATGAGGTGCCTTTGTACCAAATTGAGGAGAGAAAGCTCTGAGCTTTTTGCTCAGAAGTCATTCCATCACATCCCTACAATCCCATTTGTAATTGAAAATTCGCAAACACGAACTCAAATACCACAGGAGCTGCATGGAAATAAAATACCCCTGGATCTGTATGCACCTAAAATGCCATTTTTTCCTTACAGGCAGAGTTCACAGCCATGAGGGACCAGTACATGAGGGCAGGGGAAGGGTTCATCATCTGCTACTCCATCACGGACCGGCGCAGCTTCCACGAGGTGCGCGAGTTCAAGCAGCTCATCTACCGCGTGCGCNGGAGAGAAAGTTCTGGGCTTTTTGCCTTTTTAAGCAAAGAATAATTGAAGTTACTCCAAAGGTCCTATGGTGTGTCTTTCTACCAAAGAGGGAGAGAAACTTCTGGACCTTTTTCCTTTTTAAGCAGACAAAGAATAATTGAAGATGTCACTCCAAAGGTCCTAAGAGGTGTCTTTGTACCAAATTGAGGAGAGAAATTTCTGGGGTTTTTGCCTTTTTAAGCAAAGAATAATTGAAGAAATCATTCCATCAACAGGGAGCACATCCCTACAATCCCATTTCTAATTGAAAATTCGCAAACACCAACTCAAATACCACAGGAGCTGCATGGACCCAAAATACCCCTGGATCTATATGGAGCTAAAATGCCATTTTTTATTTGCAGGCAGAGTTTACCCCACAAAACACCTCACAAAAGGGATTATTTCCTTAGTGTTTTTCTTTCTTTAGTGAATTATCTAGGTGGGACCTCCAATTGGGCAGCCCCAGGTCTGAGGTGAAGTCCCAAAGGTCCTAAGAGGTGTCTTTGTACCAAATTGAGGAGAGAAACTTCTGTTTTTTTTCTTTTTTAAGCAATGAGTAATGGACATCATTGCAAAGGTTCTATGAGGTGCCTTTGTACCAAATTGAGGAGAGAAAGCTCTGGGCTTTTTGCTCAGAAGTCATTCCATCACATCCCTACAATCCCATTTCTAATTGAAAATTCGAAAACACGAACTCAAATACCACAGGAGCCGTATGGAAATAAAATACCCCTGGATCTGTATGGAGCTAAAATGCCATTTTGTGTTTGCAGGCAGAGTTCACCCCACAAAAGGGATTATTTCCTCAGTGTTTTTCTTTTTTAGTGAATTATCTAGGTGGGACCTCCAATCAGGCAGCCCCAGGTCTGAGGTGAAGTCCCAAAGGTTCCTATGAGGTGTCTTTGTACCAAATTGGGAGAGAAACTTCTGTGTTTTTTCTTTTTTAAGCAATGAGTAATGGACATCACTCCAAAGGTCCTAAGAGGTGTCTTTGTACCAAATTGTGGAGAGAAAGTTCTGGGCTTTTTGCCTTTTTAAGCAAAGAATTATTGAAGAAATCATTCCATCAACAGGGAGCACATCCCTACAATCCCATTTCTAATTGAAAATTTGAAAACACGAACTCAAATACCACAGGAGCCACATGGACCCAAAATACCACAGGATCTGTATAGAGCTAAAATGCCATTTTTTATTTGCAGGCAGAGTTCACCCCACAAAAGGGATTATTTCCTTTTTTATCTTCTTTTTCTAGTGAATTACTTGGGTGGGACCTCTTGGCTTCTGTCCAATTGGGCAGCCCCAGGTCTGAGGTGAAGTCCCAAAGATTCTAAGAGGTGTCTTTGTGAGCAGACAAATAATAACTGAAGTAATTCCAAAGGTCCTAAGAGGTGTCTTTGTACCAAATT